AAATATGGTATTTTGTTTATAATTGCAAAAAATATTTTAGGAGAAGTATTAAGAAACTCACATTCTGACCAAAAAAAAAAAAATCTATTTATATACGTAGAGTGATAACAAACATTCTATACAATTCTAGTTTTAAAGAAAATATTTATGGTAAATTCTAATATTTTATTCTGAATATCAATCTGGATATTAAAATGATCGATGCTTCACATACATTAACAAATAACAAAATGCAGTTTCATCGTGATGACAATGTATTAAAAATTCGAAATTAAAATGGCTTACAAAATAAATGATTTGTGTTGATAAATAAAAGTTGTTTGAGTGAAATGATGGGAGAAAAATTCAAATTTTTTATAGAGGTTGGTGCAATGGCAATGCAATGAAAAGCTATGTAAACTAATATAGACTGTTGCAAGCAAACTATAGCATTTATATAGAATAGAATAGATTATTATATTTTCGTTAATAAATAGTTTATTTATAAATCAAATCGAATTTATTTTCTAAAAATAATAATATAACAGAAATATTTACTTGTGAACTGAAGGACATCATAATCCTGTCATAATCGGAGATCTTTTTCAGATGCCCTTTAAACAAAAACAAAACTATATCAAGAATTATTATTAGATTTTAGATACTAGTTATAGAGTAAATTTAGATTTTGGCAGAATAATGCCTAAAATCCATTCTGAAAATTCAATTTTATTGATTTATATAAATAAATAACAATAAGTATGATTTCATTTGAATGAAGACTTACAACATATCTGTTTGTTAAGAAATTTCGAAATTAAACTCATTCTAACTGTTACTAAAATGTAAATTTTCGACTATAAATTCGTATCTTCTATTATCAGGACTTATTATACTGGCTTTACAGATAATGCTACAAAATTTAACAGAAAACAATTTTTATTTTATTCCATATACCTGTACCCATATACATTTTAATTAATCATTCTAACTGTATTTATTACCTTATTTTAGATCAATTTTGTATTTTAAACGGAATAAGTGATTATTTATCATACAAATTATCTTATAAATATAGAAAGATTCATAACGTTGTATATGAAATTCATTGACAAGTTGAAAAAACGAGCAATTTTCTTCTTCAAAGTTCATGTTTTTTTATACATTTTTTTTTAAAAATAAAAAACAATTTTAATTCAGAATAAAAGTTAAGCTTTATTTGCATTATTACAAAGTTAAATTTAAGTATGAACTGATTTCATTTAAACTCATTTAATTTCTATAATTCAATTTTTAAATTGTTATTTAATAGACATAACTATTTTGACGACGTTTTCTAAAAATTTAAATACAAATCACATATTTTAGTAATCCATATTTTTGCAAAAATAATGTTTCTTGATGAGTCACAATATTGATGCCAATGTCCATGTTCATGTTACCTGCCAAAGTCATTAGTTTAATTAAGCATAATTCGAATTTAATAAGCCTTACAAATTAAATCAAGCAAGAATTTCTCAAATTTTCTAACATTGCATTTATATTATTATTAAATTATTGTTGAGTGAACTTAAATCCAAACTCAACTCGAGTATACCGATTTAATCAAATTCTCATATTTTCAAGGAGATTATACTGTAGAATAAAATAAATTATTAAGTGATTTAAAATGAATAAATCATAAAATATTACAAATTATTCAGTATTTAAGTGTAAAACTTGACATATAACTGTTTTAATTTTCTTTAATTACATGTAATAACGTTTCTACGATTGTAATCAAAATCGTAAATTTGTAATTAACTTAATTACAACTTAAAATATTTATATAAAAATTATTTTTAAAATTACACTTTGTAAATATAATTTAAAATAATTAAATTAGTCACAAGAAGTGATTTAAGGAGAATATTTAAATTAGGTAACGAGGGAAAAAATATATTGTTAAGTTGCAATTGTTGTTTACAAATCTTTTAATTCTTATTTATTTTTATTGCCTTGAGTTTTAAATGTTTTTAAATATTGTACACTAATACAATGTATTGTGTAATTTTATTTAGAAAAACATAAGTAGATTATTTTAATCCCTAATTAATGTATGACACAGATTTAAATTGCGAAAGATTTGCGAAAGATACGAGTAGTTTTCTATGGAAAAGATGAAGAATTTTTATATATTTTTTAAATACTTCACTAAAAGTTTTTATAGGACAAGAATATTAAGAATTTGACGTTTTTATTTATTTCTCTACCTGCTTAACTACAAATAATAAGCACTTACAAGTACACGACATAGCTTTTGGGTGTTTAGAAGATCATAATAAACTAATGTCACATCTACATTACAACGAACTTTTGTAAAGTGGTTCTATCAAAGGGACATCTTACAAAACCTCTCACAGAACTTATTACAGAGGAAATTTGTAGGACCATTTGACATTCATATTTATAGAAGATTCAAAAACATTACTTCTTTGACGACTCTCAATATTGAGTTTATATCTATGTCCATCTTCATATTGCTTGCCAAAATCACTAAATTAATTAAGCATAATTCAATTTTAATAAATTATATAAATAAAAAGAAGTAAAATTTTCTGGCCGTGCATTAGTTACGTTTAAAGATCTCACATTTACTGTGATTTCAAAAACAATTGTTACGAATTATTTATTCATTGTATATTTTGTATAATAATTCCTTAAATTATATGAAAATTGTGTTTATTTTAAAATTTTAACATAAATCTAATGAAAACTATAGATATTTGTGTCATATCTCACAAATTTTATTACTTTCCAGAGATACTTTTTATATCTATGGTGTTTAATTTAATGTTATTGCAATTGTTTTAAGATGATTTTTTATTGTAATAATAAGTTTAAATAATAAATTAATATATTATAATTGTCGTTTTCTCTCTTTTAATTTTAAGTATTATTATCTTATTACAAATAAAAACGTTTTCTCTTGCCTTCTTTCAATTTTAAATCCTTAATGTTAATTGTTATTGTTCTAAGGAACAGTTTGTGTGAATTTTATCTTCGTACCAATAATTCTTATTTAATTAATGATTTTAAATGAGATGAAAGAAATTAAATTAAAATTATGAATCACTCAAACGCAGTGGATAAATAATTCTTTTTGCCATTTATTTTCTTGGATCGCAGATGAAAATTACGTACAGTATTCACTTTCTTAAAATCTAACGAAAGAAGAAATCTCTCAAAACTTTAATCATCTCTGTTTACATCTTTGTTGCATGTTTCCATATAATTTCGATCTATTCTTAAAATAATTTTATTACAGAGAATAGAAGATTCTTCAGGAAAACAATATTTATAAAATGCAACAATTTTAAGAGTAAGAAAGACATTAAGAATGTTTTTTTGTAAATTTACATTTTAAATTATTATTATAATTTCAAATATGAGGAGAGATATTCAATATAATATTGAAATGTTTTCTTTAAGACATTAACATTTAACTGTTTAACATTATGCCTAAAGTGAAGAAGTCAAGAAATTATTCAAATTAAAAGAAACACGTATTCGTGACTAATGAAAAATTCTTTATAAAAGCGTGAGAATTGAAGCAGCTAAAGTTAACGAATAATCGATTATTACATGAATAAATAGTAAGTAATAAGTTAATAAGGCAATTAATTTAACTTTAATAAAATTTAAATGATAAAATAATATTTTTGTTTTACTTTTTATGTTCAAAAAGTATTATCAAACTCTCGTCTGAGCTTTCACTGTTTTATCAACACGTGATTAAAGTTATCCAAGAAATCGATTAGTCAGTTTTCCCATTAATAAAACATTCAGTTATTTAACTTCTCATGCAAAAATCAATAATAGTTCTTTTTAGTGTTTTATGAGATACTTTATTGATATTTTTAACTTTCTATTGCTTTAAAGGACCCAAATTTTCAAGTGTATAATACTTTAGAATAATAAAAGTTTCATGTAAAGGTAACAATGTTATAAGCAGTCATCACTTTTTCCTGTTATTAAACGTTCTTTCATCAATAGAATACCGTTCTGTCATGTTATTGTAAAGAAACGTGAGCTGAGAACCTAATTATGTTTCCTGTATCCAGTAAACTTCAATTAGAATAATAATGAATTGAATTTACAGATCAGGAATTTTACTTTTATATTTTATTTATATTTTAAATTATCAGCAATATTTTACATAATAAATGATTTTTAGAGTATATTTAAGAATATATTTTAAAAAAATTATGTTTTCTGATTTAAAAAAAAAAATTTATTTGTTTATAAATAACATAAATATTTAAAAATTATCATTTAAATCATATTAGAATTGTCTTCCAGTTCTTTACTTACAATTTTATAATTTAAAAATTTACTAAAATTAATAGGATAGCCCAAAAATTAATTAAGAAGTTAAAACTGGTTTGGGATCCGTTAACTGACTTTTGGGCCACCTTGTATATTTTTCTCATTTTATTTATGCAAAAGAACTAAAGATATATTTAAATATACGTACATAATTAAAGAAAATTTTAATTTTTGATTCTGTAATTTAACTTTTTTACCATTTGGTAGATATTCCTGATGGAGGACTTCAAAGTTTAATATTTTATGCACAAAGCTTGAAAAGAAAATGATTAAAATTTGTGTTTATTTGTTTTATCAGATTTCATTTCAGCACTTTTGGCTTCTGATAAAGAAAATTTACTATTATATTTGTATTAGTCAAATTGAATGTATTAATTTTACGTGTGTTCTCGCCTTTTGTCAGATTTAAATTTTACGCAACAAATCCTTTTAATTGCAATAATATACCCCGATTACTTCTCACTTGATTGAATATACAAATATTTTGCTGCGATACTATCATATAAATTAATGAATTAAGTTTCAGAAATAGGAATTTATTAATATATTATTTTAAATTCTAATTATACAAAGATGTTAAATTAATTTACTTCAATATATTTAATAGAATGTACATAAAATTAATGCTTCTAAATGATCCAGAATAATGAAAATAATGTATTTCCATTTTTGATTTTTTATATGTGCTTATTTATTTATAAAAAATAAATATTTTTTCATGTTAGAAAAAGGAATTATTTTAGGATCAAAATTGACTTTGCTGTCTGTTTTTATCTCTGTTATTTCTTTCTAAATCTCTCGGAAACTAGACAATTGAAATCTTTAGATTTTGATAGATGCAATTTCCTTTAAGACTTTCTTATTCATCCCCATTTGTTATTCAAGCTTCTTCTTACAGTTGTATGTGATGATAAACGACATGGCATCTCTCCTGATCCATCTGTATCAATAGAATTTTATTTTATCTGGAATAATATTTATTTATTTAAATAGTATAGAAAGTAGAACTCGTAACGGGGGTAAAAATATAAATTAAAAATACATAAATTTAAAAAAACAAAGCAAAAAATAATATCAACAATGTACAAAATACAATAAAATAATTGGTATAGTAAGCAGAAGCGAATTCTGCCAAAAATATATCTGGAATATTATAATTTTGAATAGATTTTCTTAATTTTTCTTGTTGCCATACAAGATTACATCTATTCAGTATTTTAAGCAGACAAAATGGAGGTCAATGTTCATTACGTGACAGATTTCAGTATGATTCTTAAGAATGGCAGTAAAAAAAATTATTCTTAAATTCTAATAGTAAATGCTCACACAATGTTGCTTTTTTTATGAAGAATTAACCATTTAATTAAGAAAAACGCTAGCTGAAATTTCAACACAATATCTTATAATATCAGCATTTCTCAATTGGAAGTTCACACCTCTCAAGAATGATGTAGTTGACGATTCTCAGAAATCTCAAGAATGATTTTCCTTAATCCTGATTAATATCACGTCTAACAAATATCTTGACAATGGACACAAGCTGTAAAGATTAAAAACGTACTTTTTCTTTATTCTTCTACTTTCTTTTCCATAAAAGAAGTACAGTATTCAATTTTGAATACACTAAGTCTAAAGTTTTACTATTATAATTATTTTATAAGAATTAAATTATTCTTTGGAAATTATTATTAAATATTAGAACAAAATGATAAGTTAATTTAATGAAGAGTTTTTTAAATACTGATAATATTGTATACAACGGATCTCATTTTACGACCACTCATTTTACAATATATTTTGTTTATATCTTACTTATTTTTTTACTAATTGTAAAAAGTAATAAATGCCTGTCAAATTTTACTTCTCATAACAATTGCTGAACCATTTTTCATCACGTAAAGTTGTAAAACCATGGACCACCTAAAGGATCACATTATTGATGTGTGTGCATTACGAATATGTATCTTCAGGTGTTGTCATTCCTGTATGTCCCTTCAGGTGAAGAGATATACCATAGCCTTCAAGTACGTTCAGAAATAAAAATATAGGATTTAAATCCAAGGATCTAGGAAGACATGGTGTATCAGATGAAGCTTCAAAACATGGGTCAATAGAAAGAATATATTCGTGTGTCCACATAATACCAGATGTATAAAAGCATATTTTAAAACTTACAGATAATTATGTAACAAAATAAGTCCTTTGTTTATGCATATTTTAAACTCGCACACGAATAATATTTCATAACTATATTATCTGATCTATAATGTTTGTAATCTTCAGTAAAAGAAAATTGTGATGAAAACAATTGAATTATGTAATTATTTATTTCATAAATTGATGAAACAATACTTGAAATATATGCAATTTCTTGCGATTTAGTAAAAATCACGAACGAATTATGTTACGAGAAGACTAGTTATAGTTAATGTTGCCAGCGAATATCTATAAATATTTTTCTTAAATGCAGAAAATAAATAAAAATAAATGATAAATAACGTCTTTTATGCATTTTAAGAAGGTATTTTGGTTTAAAAAATGAAAAGATAAAGGAATAAATTTGAATTTATTTACCTTTTTCTTATGTTTTTTATACAGAATATGTTATAATTTTGATTTTAAATAATTATATTAGTCGTTTTATTACCTTGTAAAATATTATAATAAACAAAATAATAATAAATTAGATATATCAAAAAAAATGTTATGTAAACTGTCAAACAGACTGAATCTTAACTGTAATGAAAAGTATTTATTATTTTAATAAGGAAATAAATTAAAATCAATATTTTCTATCATCAGATTTTTTTGATGACGTCGTTCAATACGATATTTAATTTTTATGACGTATACATTTATTTAAAATTATTAGAGATAACTACGTAGTTGAATTTCTCGATAAAAGATGACGCCACATTTCTTTTTTCAATCAGCAAGTTGCCAATTTTCCCTGTATTTTATGAACACATAACCTAGAGAACAATTTTAAATTTTAATGTCAAATTATTGTAATTTAATTTATTTTGTACGTAATATTTTAAAATTATTTTCGTATTAATGATTATGTATAAAAACTATGTTCTGTCATTGCTTTATAATGGTTTCACCCCAACCAGTAGATCACGATTCCAAGGGTATTGCTAAAGTACTTTTATATAATTTTACATTGTCTTTATTGTAAAAATGGGCCAAAACTTAAAAACAGCTTGAAAAGCCCGTTTTAAACTACATAATTGTTTATTTATTGAGCGCCGCTATTTTCTGAATATTTTATAATACAAAAATTTACTATGAATCATTAAAATTTAATAGTAAATATTTTAAATAAAACATTATACATCCATCTGTATCAATAGAATTTTATTTTATCTGGAATAATATTTATTTATTTAAATAGTATAGAAAGTAGAACTCGTAACGGGGGTAAAAATATAAATTAAAAATACATAAATTTAAAAAAACAAAGCAAAAAATAATATCAACAATGTACAAAATACAATAAAATAATTGGTATAGTAAGCAGAAGCGAATTCTGCCAAAAATATATCTGGAATATTATAATTTTGAATAGATTTTCTTAATTTTTCTTGTTGCCATACAAGATTACATCTATTCAGTATTTTAAGCAGACAAAATGGAGGTCAATGTTCATTACGTGACAGATTTCAGTATGATTCTTAAGAATGGCAGTAAAAAAAATTATTCTTAAATTCTAATAGTAAATGCTCACACAATGTTGCTTTTTTTATGAAGAATTAACCATTTAATTAAGAAAAACGCTAGCTGAAATTTCAACACAATATCTTATAATATCAGCATTTCTCAATTGGAAGTTCACACCTCTCAAGAATGATGTAGTTGACGATTCTCAGAAATCTCAAGAATGATTTTCCTTAATCCTGATTAATATCACGTCTAACAAATATCTTGACAATGGACACAAGCTGTAAAGATTAAAAACGTACTTTTTCTTTATTCTTCTACTTTCTTTTCCATAAAAGAAGTACAGTATTCAATTTTGAATACACTAAGTCTAAAGTTTTACTATTATAATTATTTTATAAGAATTAAATTATTCTTTGGAAATTATTATTAAATATTNAATATTTAAAAAAAAATCCTTATACTGTACTGTAATTAATATTATAAATAAGAGTCATAAGTTATGTAAAATTATATAGTTGAATTGAATAATTGAATATGTTTCTTATATATATTCAATCATAGCTCATATCTATCTCATATTAATTAATTAAAGTATAAGAAGCATATCATGAAATCAAGCTGATGAATTATTGATGATGTGTGACTACTTATATATGTATTGAAAAATAATATATGATGCTTGAATATGAATTTGCAGTGATATGCAGCACATAACCGAGAGAAGAAGATAGATAATTTATAAATTTATATTTATATATTATAAATCGATATAGCATACGTGATGTTTTAATGTATATTTGTAAGGATATACGGTTATGTGTACACGAATGGAAAGAGGATATGAGTCAACTGAACGTCAATTTGTAAAGCTATGTGATGTCTATGGAATGATAAAGTATATGATGCTTCAACGCGGATTGAAGTATAGTTTACTTAACAATATAGATTGAATAGAGAATGGAATTCACTACGAGTATATGAAATATTGGCATTTTAAAACAAATATTAAAAGTAGAAAATTGACCCAAAAATTATCCATTAATTTTCTTTAGTTAATATTATTTGCACACTTGCCAATGATATGAATATTTTAAATATTAACAAAGCATACTTCATTTAAGATGTGATGCAATAAATCATACTTATTTTCGTCATTAAAAAAAACCTATCATCAAGCAGTTCTGAGAAAAACATGTGCAACTACTCTAAAAAGAGAGAGATTGGAAACAGATTTCTTTAGAAAATACCGAAGTTCAGTGTTGCTTCTTAACACTTCATTAATTAATACGTTTTTTTAAAAGTGATTAATAACTTGTTTTTAAATAAAACATCTACGAAAATAGAATAATTGATCATTTACGATAAAAGATAATAAACAGTTGTTTTATCTTTATACATAAAACATAACCTTATAATGAATTATTTCGTAATAAAAAATATATATAAATATATAAAAATTATAGTTAAATAATTCTCCAACAGATGGCACAAA